TTCGTTCTTTCTTCCCCAACTTTAAATGAGGTAGCTCAATCCAGCACTATATATTGGCCAGTTTTACGACTTGGCAATGCTTCGCTGGGCCTTTCAAGAGGCTGGATTTTGCTACATTAGTCACGGGATAACAATCCTGTTCAGAAATGCAGTCAAAAGTTTTTTACTCTGTCATCAAGGACGTTTCATTCAGTCTCGCACCTCCTCCTCTTCACTCAATCTCCTCTAGTCTGCAGTTTCTTATCAACTGCACCTTATCTAGCTCTGAAATTAGTTGTCATCCTTTTAATTTCAGTACTTGTAAAGTAGGTATCATAATTTATCCATACTAGAGTCTCTGCATCGATTGTATTCAGTTGGCCATAGATTTGCCTACTATTAAAGAATCGTTGTAGAGAGCTGGGTCAAATAATTAGTTCCAAGGTCTGAGCAGATGTTATAAAATAATCAATGAGATCTCTTCAGTGTCCTCAATGTTCAAGCATGAAAGATGTCTACACTGCTCCTAACATGTGTAGGTAGAAATTGTAATATTTGTGCACCGCAAGATCTGTGGTAAATGGATTATGCAATTCCACTCTTCATTTAATGGAATGGACATCCATAGGTTCCACTCTTATATAGATATTATAATCAATTTGCATTCAGGTAGGTAGCCTTGTTGGTCTGCCACAGTCGAAATAAATGAAAAAAAATGTCCAGTAGCACCTTAGAGACCAACTAAGTTTGTTCTGGGTGTATCTGAAGAAATGTGCATGCACACGAAAGCTTATACCTAGAACGAACTTAGTTGGTCTCTAAGGTGCTAAGGGACATGAGTGGCGCTGTGGGTTAAACCACAGAGCCTAGGGCTTGCCAATCAGAAGGTCAGCGGTTTGAATCCCCACGACGGGCTGAGCTCCCATTGCTCGGTCCCTGCTCCTGCCAACCTAGCAGTTCGAAAGCACATCAAAGTGCAAGTAGATAAATAGGTACCGCTCCAGCGGGAAGGTAAACAGCATTTCTCTGTGCTGCTCTGGTTCGCCAGAAGCAGCTTAGTCATGCTGGCCACATGACCCAGAAGCTGTACGCTGGCTCCCTCGGCCAATAAAGCGAGATGAGCACCGCAACCCCAGAGTAGTCCGCAATTGGACCTAATGGTCAGGGGTCCCTTTACCTTTAAGGTGCTACTGGACAACCAATTTGCAGATACTGGACATGCCAAAGGGGTGGGGAGCAGTCGGTTGATGACCCCCCCACACACACATTGATTATAGCAACTGCACAGGGCTAAAGCAAAGCTTTATTGAATTGAGTATCATGTTGTGCTGGGACTTTGCTGGGGAAGTTTTAGCAGTTGCAAGAGTCTCTTAAGGCAAGAATAGGCAAATCAAAACCATGGTTAGCTCCCAGTGGTTCCTGCTGCCTGAGATATTGACTATACCTATTGGCTGTACACCCTGGGACTGCTGTCTTTAAAGAGCCTGTAGCCAGTTCTGCATATGTATGTTCCTCTGTGGTTGTAGAGCAGGAGAAGCTGCAGAAGACTCATCCACAGAGACTGAGGATGATCTAAGAACCACTCCCTCAGACTGAGATGGTACAGGAGTGGCAGGCAAAGGCTACGGAATGTGCAGGTACAATCAGCAAATGATGGCTCCCTTCCAAAAGCAGGGTTTGCAGGTGCCACTGAACAGCTGATCAGCCCTGCCACCACCAATCAGTCCTGCTACCATTACCCATACAGTTAAAATCAAACTGCACAGGAAAAAACCAGACACTGCCAATCAACTGATCAACAGCACCTGAAAACCCTACTTTTGGACAGGGAGTTGCATCTTTTCCTGCATTGCACTTGGCATCATATATTACACCAAATACGCAGCAGGTGGGTGTGGTTTGGAGGAAATGACATTATGGGCCAAATTAGGTCTAATTACACCCTCAGGCCAGAGGTTTCCAACCACTACATTGCATTGGCATTTTTTTCAGTGCTTTCAGGTCAAACCCTGGAGATAAGGTAGACTTTGAGGCATGCAGGACCAAAGTTCTTTAAGTCAACTCTGTTCCCACTCTCCAATTTAAGATGTTGTAGAGACTTTTGGGAGGACTTCATTGGCTTAAAAAATATGGGGAAAGCATCCCTGAAGTTGATGCAACAAAAAGTGCCTTTAAGCTAAGTGAGGCCGCTTGCCAGGCACCTAAACTGCTCTTTTAATTAAATATGGTCATGAAATTATGTGAGCAGTGGTACTTGGCCGATCCAATATCTGCCAACGATAACTGTCTGTACCAGGCAGAATTAAATTACACAAGAAGAACTAAATGTTCCTTTCAACATATTGCTTCTTTCTGGAAGAAGAAAGGGGAAACAGCATGAAAGAGGGAACCTAAGAAAAGAAGCACCAGAGCACAGTCTGAACTCACCAAATGGAGGCTGATGGAATCAACATATTGAAAAGAAGCCAGAAACTCTAGTACAATGCTTTAGCCCCATTGAGATATTTTCCTTCTGACACCATTCATGCTTATTTCTTGTTGGTCATGATAAATAGGGGCAAACATATTGATTGGATGTGTGCAATTAACTTGCACATTTTCTTTAATTTACGTAAGTGCTGCACATTTTCAGTAAGTGATAAGAACCTAAGAAGAGCCCAGCTGGATCAGGGCAGTGTCCCATCTCCTCCAGCATCCTGTTCTTAAAGTGGCCAACTGGATGCCTGTGGGAAACTCACAAGCAGGACATGAGCACAAGAGCGCTCTCCCCTCCTGTGATTTCCAGCAGGAAGTATTCAGAAGCATTACTGCCTCCAACTGTGAAAGGCAGAGCGTAGCCATTATGGCTAGTAGCCATTGATAGCCATCTTCTCCATTAATTCATCTAATCCTTTTTCAAAGCTATCCAAGTTGGTGGCCTTCAAAGCCTCCTACAATCCACTCACCATTATTTCCCCCAGTGCTTCTCAGCTGACAGAAGAAGAAGGCTGGATTGCAGGGGGGAAAGCATTTGGAGAGTGAGTATCTTCTTCATCATGAGATGGGACTGCAGTACTATGAGCGAGTCAACAGCCTCCAACACACCACAGATGAAAATAGAGACCCACTTGTGTAACACTCCTGTTTCCATGCCAAGGAGACTGGCTGAAACCCCCACACCCTTACTCATTGCTGAAGTCGCTGTGTTCATTTCCTCTGCAGTAGCCTGCTCTCTTTGCTAGCTTAAAAGCCAAGAGGCTGTTTGTTCTTTTGATTAAAGATATGCCAGAAAAACAAAATGGCTCAACAATCTGTTATCAAAAAAGAAAAGAAAGAAGAGATTCAAACAACATGTGAAATGGCAGGCTGTGTGCTGCCTACCACCTTGATGTTCACGCACTGTACATGAGTGTGCTTTGAAGACAAGATGCATCATTTCCCAGGGAAGAGGTCTTAGATAAGTCACTCTCTGCCTTATTCCCCCCGTCTGCAGTATGGTGACACTTACTTTACCGCAGAGCTGGGAAACCTGTGCCTCTCCAGAAATCGTTGTACTAGAACTCCCATCATCTCTGGCCATTAGCCATACTGGCAGAGGCTGATGGGAGTTGGAGTCCAGTAAGATCTAGAGGGCAGCAGTTTCCCCAAACCTCTGTTATGGAGTTGCTGCAAAGATTCTAAGAAGAAAATGCAGGTGGAACACTTCAAACAATTGAAATCATGGTACTAAATGTTAATATTATTGAAAAGCCTTCATCTGGGACATTTATTTCCTTTACAAAATACTTCCTTTACAATGCAAGATGTTATCACAGTTCAGATAAACAAGACATTTCTTTTTAAAATTCTTTCTCCATTATCTCAAGAAATTATATGTAAGAAAAATTGTTTGCTAGTGTGAAAAGTTTACGGAGGGCAGGCTGCATGTCAAAGCGCTCTCTATTATTTTCTTCCTTAAACCCGAGTGCTAAGCAAGTCATTTGTGGTGCAGTCCTTGTACAGATACAGATCAGTTGACTGCAGGAGGTTTCAAAGCTTCCGCATATGGGTGTTTTGTGCCTTTGGCTTCAAGGATGCAGAAATGCATCATCGAGAGCTCTTTGATATGCTCAGTGCTCAGCATTTTATAAATGGCCATGATATATAAGTTCTATGTGAACCTGTTCCAGTGCTTTGATGTCACGGATGGCTGTAAAGGGCATTGGAAAGTCAGAGGCAACTACAAAGAGCCTGTACAGCTGAAATAAGCAAAAGTGTCCCACTGCTGCCCCTTTCTGTCTCTCCCAAAATGGGGGCCTTGTTGTATTTTGTCACTCATTTAATCAACATGATGTGAAAGTTGGCGGAGGGCTTAGGGTGCCATCCGCCAAATGCTCCTGCTGCACGCATGCCCTTCATTGGGCTTGGGCAGGACTCTTGCGCCATCAACAATGGAACTGGAATCAACTGAGATGTCAACTGCCAACTATCAGAGAAGAGTCAAGAGCTGAGGAACTGTAAAGCCAGGAAGGGGAGCCTGTGGTCCTCCAGGGGCTGTTGGGCAACAACATGAATGCCCATTGGCCATGCTGGCTGGGGTGAGTGAGAGTTGGCGTTCAACAATATCTGCCTAGGAAGATATAGCTAGGAAATTGCCATATCCCAAGTCAGTCCAATGGCCCATCTTAGCTCAGCTTTGTCTACACTGAGTGGCAGAGGATTTCAGGCTTAGAGGTCTCCCCTAGCCCTACTTGAAGATGCCAGGGATTAAACCTGGGACCTTCTGTATACAAGTCAAGATATTTGCCCTTGAACTGTGACCACTTTCCCAGGGCCACGGGTATCCCTATACCTGCTGTAAAGATTTTCTGCCTTCTCCTCCTGGGCTTTCTGGGGCTTTGTAGATGACACAAGAGCTGTAGAACACAAGCTTTGCATTCAGCTTCAGTCTCTAGTATCATTAGTTAAAGCAGGGGTTGTCAACCTGGTCCCTACTACCCACTAGTGGGTGTTTCAGGATTCTAGGTGGGCCATAGGGCACAAGCTGAATCCTCCTTCCATCGAGCACTGGTGGGCGGTAAGGAAATTTTACCATCAAGAAAGACGCATTAGTGGGCGGTTGGTATAAAAAGGTTGACTACCGCTGAGTTAAAGGATTGTAGGAAGCTGGGCTGACCTTGGAAATCCTCTGCCAGTCAGAGCCAGGGCTGATCCAATACATTTTGCCATCTGAGATGAATGGCAAGAAAGCAGTCCTCCAAGGCTCAAGTCCATGTTACAAAGCCTACTAGACTGGTAGCTGAATCCTATTTCAGCACTGATGACCGGACAGCACCCACCACAGCAGTAGGCTAGCTGTGAACTGCAGTGCAAGACATGTAGCACACAACTCTATCCTTCAACATTTATGCCACCTGATCAGCTACCCCCTTCAGCCTAATGGTAGGGATGCCTCTATCAATGAAGACATGACTGGACTAGATGGAACAATGATTTGACTTGCAATAAGGCAGGCATCGTATGATTGGTGCCTGATCTAGCTCTTGGATATAAGTTCTGTGTAAAGCCCTCTTAACCAGAGTGACTGCTGGTAAAATTAACAAATTGGTGCCTGGTGCAGTGTAAATTTTTCTCCCTCTCCACAGGACTGGATCAAGACATTAAGTCAAGGCGCATAATACCCAAGGCTAGCCAAGTTATTTTGGCATTTGAGGCAGGAAATCCTACAAGCTCCTCTCCCTTTCCTGGCACTAATAAAACAAATGAAACAACTAATCATTTGCTGCCCTTCCCTGACAGCCAAAATCAGCTGCTTCAGGTGGCCGCCTCATTCTGCCTAATGGAAGGACTGGCCTTCCATAAAAAATGGAATTTGGTTCAGCCATTGATGTTGATTGGCAGCAGGTTCAGGACAGGATCAAGAAAGGACTTCTTCACATGGCATGCCATTAATTTATGGGCAACTAAGCTATCAATCAGAGGGTGTTAGCCGTGATAGACTCTCCAGTTAGTATGCCACCAAATAACAATTGGGGTGTGAGAGCAGGAAAAGGAGATGGCTTCTGGGCTTCTCTGGTGGTCTACACTGAGTAACAGAATGCAAGACTGGATAGACCTTTGGTATGATCCAACAGGATCTGTCTTGCATTCTTATGTAACCTCTCTCGGACTCATGGATGGGAAATCTCAGGCCTGGGAGTCAAATGCACCACCCCTCTCTGTCTAGCCCTTGGTATTCTTCCCAGGTCAAACACCCCTCCCTAACAACAACTCCCTACAGCCCCTGTTTTGCACTCTCCTTGAGTGTGTTTGCCTGGCCACAATGTATCCTTGAATTCTGAACATGCTTCCCAGTTGCCTGGATGGAGGGGTGCACATGTGTGTGTAAAAACTAGCCTGCTATACAAAGTCAAAATTTCCATTTATGCTTATGCCTTCTTTTGCACCTGGCCCCACCCACCTATGGCATGTGGCCCCCAGATGGTTGTCCACCAGAGAATGTGGCTTCTGGGCTATGTTCACCACTCCAGTTCTAACTGCATGTTCTCTTTACATTGCTATCCTGCAATGTGTCTCTTTACATTGCTATCCTGCATGTGTCCACTCAGGAGTAAGTCCCATTCATTTAAATGGGGCTTACTCCCAGGAAAGTGGGTCAGGATAGCTTACTTTTATTGCTCTGTGGGCTGCCTATCCTGCGATACAAATGGTACCTCGTGTACTAACCTAGCAATGGAGTGTCTTTTCCTCCATGTCTATTTGGTTGGCATGATGTTTCCACTTGCCTTGATTACTGGACTTTGCAACTGTTGAGACTGGAAACTCTGATTATGTGCATACATATTTTTGGGAAAGTGAGATCTGTGTGATGCTGTGCACTCATTTTAAAGTTGAAACACAACCTCTGGTTTGCAGGGAAAGGTCAAAAGTCAATATCCAAAAAGTCTTTCAAGGCATTCCAGGGTCTTGTTCATTTGGTTTGCTCATTATCGTTCTCCCTTAATGTAAGGAAGCCTTTCATGAAGAGTGCCGTCTTGCTCAGCTAGCCTTCATGATGGGTTAGTTGTCTCACGCTTATACCTGGTGAAAAGATGCATCACCACCTATCCTAGGGGTAGGGGATACCTCTCTATCTGGCTCTCAAAATGCTCCCCTCTCTGTCCCTCACACACTCCACACCGACCCTGCTCCGCACACCCCTGAAGTGCTTTTACCTGGCCAAAATATGCCCTTTAACTTTGATAATGCCTCTAGTTTCTCCTGGTAGAGATGTGCACATGTAGAAACCTTTGGCTTTTTGCATGATTGGAACACAGCCTATTGTACAGAGGCAAAGAGTCACACAACTGTTGTTCCGTCCACTATTGCACCCGGCCCTGTTCACCTTTGTCTCTGTCTCCACCCACTTTTTTCCTGGCCCCGCCCACCCCTGGCATGTGGCCTCCAGGAGGTCTCCTATGAAGCAACATGGCCCTTGGGCTGAGAAAAGGGTTTCCCACCCCTGATCTAGTCTAGGGCCACAGCTTGGTGTTTGTCTAGCTCAGCCTGTAAGCCAGACTCCTACGTGGGGCTCCTAACATCATCAGCACTCTTTAGTACCCCAGACCCTCCCTGCCATTGCTGGTACTGCCTGAGCATTGTTTGTTACTGTTCTCAGCAATGTGCTTTAAGCTTCACCCGGGCAGACTTTTGCAGAAGCAATTGCATTTGAAAATGGCGAATTGCAAGCCTTGGGCTAACTGCTTTGCTTTGTGCATTACAGTACACAGATTATTATTATTTTGCAGCAGGGTGTTCATTATCCTTTGTAGATGTACTTGATGGGTGAGCCAGTTGCATCCGTAGTGAAGCTTTCACTCTCATTCAGTGTGTCACTCTCACCAGAAGTGTTGGCGTTCTTTAGCCTCATGATTCGGGACTGTAGCCGCTCATGCTCCCTCCTCAGCTCGGAGTAGGAGTGGGAGAATGTGTGGAATATGGAGGTGGCTGGGAAAGCCATAATGAGTATCCCACTCAGGATGCTGCTTAGGGCAACCATCTGGCCCGGGACGCTCCTGGGTACCATGTCCCCATAGCCCACTGTAGTCATAGAGATGATAGCCCACCAGTAAGAGGCAGGGATGCTTGTAAACTCCAGGATCTTCCCAGATTCGTTCTCTGCAAGGTAGACCAGGGGAGAAAAGAGGGTGACGGCTACACACAGGAAGAGCAAGAGCAGGCCAAACTCTCTTGCGCTCCTCCGGACAGTGAGGCCCAAAGTCTGCAATCCCAAAGAGTGCCTAGCAAGGCGCATGACATACAGTATCCTCAAGGCACGTAAGACCCGTAGCACCAAGCCCACCTTCTCGAGGTACGAGCTCCCACTCGGCCTGCTGTCTTTCTCAGTGGGCTCGTCATCCAGCACAATGAGGGATGCATAATATGGGGAGATGGCCAAGAAGTCGATGATGTTCAGAGGACCTTTGAAAAACTGACATTTGCTCTTGGCCTGGATGAATCGGAGGCAGAACTCCAGGGAGAACCAAGCCACGCAGATGGTCTCAATGATGAAGATGTAATAGCACTTTTGGGAACATTCGCCCTGCATATGGAAGGGGGAAAGAAAGAGGTCAGAATGAATGGACGTCTCTCTCAGTTAAAAAAAATCAGAAAAATACAACAGAGGCTGTAATATACACCGTGTGTGTTACCCAGTCCTAGTGATGAGGGAGAAGTTTTGTTTGCATTTTAATGAGAAGCTATCTCATTCATATTTCTTGAACCAATGTGCAACCCGCAAAACATAGATATCCTTTGAAATTGACACTTCTCTGAATTTTATGGCACAGTTCTTCAACACAACAATGTGTGCAAAAATACATTATATTAGAGGGGAATGTGTATAATGTCAGTTCCTAGGGCTCCCCAATTCCCAGGGCTCCCAAGACTAGATAATAAACATCTCTTGATCTCATGACTCACCCTCCTACCAGCCATCTGCTACATTTGGATCTTTACATGACTCTCCTTCTGGGAAAATGCCTGCATATAAAAGGGATATAGGAACAACCCATTTTACCTTGTTATTATTTATCATAGATTTATTAGGCCACCAGTTCAGCAGCTTCCCGTGTGCTGTGATCCCTGCCACTTCCTATGAGTCTCAGTAGCCACTATTGCTCATACAACCCACAATCTGACAGCGCTTTTGTTGGTATATATTGGATGTTTTATTTCTATTAGTTGTGGATGCTGATGTGGCCCTTGTCTTTAAGGCAATGAAGTTGTGATGCATGCATGTAATACAGAAATAATTTTCAAAAGGTGCAAGTGGCTGAATGATTTATGGAAGGCACGTTGTAACTAACCAATGTTTGTAACTGACCAGCTAATTTGGTGAAGTTGCAAACCCATTGAATCCAGCTTCTAACAAGAGGTGGCTTGTGATAATTCCTTGCCTAGAAGAAAGGCGGGCGGGGGAGGAACCTTCTACCATTTAGGCATTTTGTATCTGCCTTGTCCTCAACCCTCTTACAAGCTGGAGCTGTTCAAATCCCCTGACTGCATTGCTGCCATGAGGATTGCTGAGTCACTTTTCCTGCATTGCTGCTTTTGTTTGAATACTTAAGCCCAGGCTCTAGTTAAATCAAACTGTCCAAGGTGAGAACTTGAGAACAGAAATGGAAAAAAGTAAGTACCTCCAATAGGTCACTTTGGCCTTTGAATATGTGGTCGTAAGCCAATATCATTTAACCACAAAGGCTTTTGTGGGCAACCCTGAATCCCTCCTCTTCATTGAATAATGAATCTAGATATGCTCAGAGAGAATTCTAACATTTCCTTATGGATCACTGAGAAGGTATTGTTCAGTCATACCATTTAACAGCAAAGGTTATTCAGTAGCGCTGTGCCAAAAATGTCTCCTGCAGCCCCCCCCCCGCACTGGTCTCCATCAAGTTAATGAGAAAAGAAATTGCATTCGGAAATTATCAATGGGGAGAGAACATTTTGGTGAAATTCTCAAATATGGGGGGATTTCTCTTTGTGTGTGTGTGCATTCATGTTCATGTGTATGTGCACTGACCTTACTTTTGAGGTGGCCAGGTGGTGCCTGTGAGCGTCCTCTCTCTTTTGTTCTACAAATCATGGCACCAGGGTTTTTTGCTCTGCAGCCTTCCCTGGTTCCTTCACTTTCAGTCAAAGCCCACAAGAAGGCATCGTAAAGGAGCTCCTTTCACAGGGCTTTTTCAGATCAGGAAGTGTGGGAAGCTGGGGAGGGTGCAGAGCACTGGGGAAATGGGTAGAAATGGGATGAAAGAAAACACACTCACACATACCACCTTTGCCCATCTTGAGGTTCTAAAGAAAATGAGAATGAGGCAGAAAAATGGAAACCTCTTTTATAGATGAAAACCTCTGAGAAATGGGTTTTACAGATTTCAGCATAGCAGTATTATACAACTGCCTCCTCCGAAGAATGTGTGGCTATGAATCTGAAGTGGTAGTAGCCTATATATATATATATATATATATATATATATATATATGAGATGCACTTAAGGAAAAACAATATTCTGAGCACTTTTCAGTGGGCATTTTTAGGTGGCGGCAGTGATAGAGATATGAGTAAGTAGGTAAGGCCAGAAGGGCAGATATTTCAAAGATAAATGAGAGACCTTGTTGTGTAGCAACTAGCATGCTTGACTATGACCAGATAGACTTGGCTTCAAATCCCCACGCTACCAGGACACCTGCTAGACAATCATGGACCAGTCAATGTCTCTCTAAGACTAGTAACAAGTCCACCTTACAGGACTGTTGGCTAAAGTCCAAAGGACTGTGTGCACTGCCCTGAGATCCTTGGAGAAACAGTAGGATGAAACTTCAGCTCAAGGTTCTGCAATGAGAAGGTCAGCAGTGCTACACATCACTGACACCAAGCACCCAATGATGCTCACCTGGAATGCAATCCCTGAGCAATACAGTAGTCAGCTCAGCAGTCTCAGTACAGATGTGTTCCTGACCTTGATAACTACCCTCTGAACATAAAACAAATGTCATTTGTCAGCAGGGAAGAAAGGGTTTGGTTTTGAAACTTAACAAGTATCTTCCTCCCCAACCCCGGTCACCAAGACTGTTTTGGAAGGCTCTTCTAGAATTTCACAGGTTTTCTAATAGCAGCACATGCTAAGATCCAAAAAAAATCATGGCTGATGGAGAATTGGCATGGCACCAGCCAATATGTTACTAAATGGTGATTACAAGAGCAGGATGAGACTGGATGGTTTAACCATCTGTGACCAAAGATAGTAAAGAGGCAAAATCGACTTTCCATTCATTTTATGGTCTCATCCTCATGTACAAGCTGGAATGTGTGCAGAGAAGGGCAACCAAAATGATCAAGGGTCTGGAAATCAAGCCTTATGAGGAACGGTTGAAAGCATTGAGTATGTTTAGCCTGTTAAAGAGGAGACTGAGAGGAGATTTGATAGCCATCTTCAAATATCTAAGGAGCTGCCACATGGAGGATGGATAAAACTTATTTTCTCCTGCTCCAGAGGCTGGGACCTGCACCAATCCCACCTAAAGATCCAATTCCCTCAACCATTCCTCAAACAGAATAAAATAGAGAAACCATAACAATAAAACCATTAGTAACTGTGTCATGGTATAAAATTCCAGACATAGAAAGCACAATTATAAGTTTGCTTAAATTAGTCCCCATTGCAGCATCACAATATTTAGCCACCCTGGAAGAGGTGGAAGCTTTCTGATATGAAAGGAGTAAAAAGGCATAAAATGCATCCAACCATCCTGGGATTCCCATAAAAGGGATTCAGAAAAATCTTACATATGTTGTATTAAAAGGAACAGTACATAAGAACCAGATATATTGGTTCTACCTCTCCAGATTCACAGGCGCATCTACATTGACAAGAGGATATTTTTTTGGAACCTCCCCTCCAGCACTACTGATGGAAGAACATTTAAATGCACCAAAGTAAAGGCATGCTGGAGAGTCACTGCCAGTCAATGTAGATAAAAGTGATCTAGATGTACAAATTGGTCTGACTTGGGATAAAGCAGTTTAGGAATGTAAGAACAGGTCCTTCCCATTAAAGCATCTGGTTGGCCACTGTGAGACCACGACTAGATGGGTCTTTGGCCACTGTGAGACCTGGACTAGATGGGTCTTTGGTCTGATCCTGCGGGACTCTTCTTATGTTCTTAAAACCTTGCTGTGGCAAATTTCAACTCCCAATAAGCAGTGAAATGGGGTCTTTGGTTGTTTCCTTTGGGATGCATTCCAGTCAGAGGACCAAGGGATGGTGCTAAACCATTTCCTCTGTGCTATTTTCCCCTCTCCCTTGTTTGTTAGTTGCCCCATTAAGGGAAACTTATGTGTACTATGGTTAATCCAACTATGGTCTCAGTGCAAACAATCAAAGATAAGTGTTTCAATCTTAAAAGTAATGTGCTGTTACTGATGATTTTGCTATGGTGGTAGTGGTGGTGGTGGTGATGATCATGATGATGAATGATTCCTCTTCTCTCTCATTTTTAAATTACCCTGTGCATTTGGGATAACAACCCAGAAATATTATGCGTGGGTGGGAATGCTGGGGGAGAGGTAAAGCACAGTGCTAAAGCCCCTGGATTAAAGAGATTCTGACCTGCTCAACAAATTGACCCATGGCACTGCACAAATATCCTGGGTGCTTGTTTGCACTTTTCCCTTTTGTAAAAGAAAGTTATTCACTGCTTCCATAGCAGAAGGCATGTTGCAGACGGCTTGCTCAGTTTTAAAGTCTCCCACCACCACCCCTGGAAAAAATCAGACCCAAGACATATGTGTTTGCATTGAAAAACAGCCTTATTACAACCTAATTTTTTTGTGAGGAGAGAATTAAAAGACTGAATAGTAGGGATTTAGGTTCAGGAGCTCTGGGTCTTCCCTCCCTCAGCCTGAAAAGAAAAGCTGCACACCCAATGAAACTTGTGCTTCTGTGCAAACTTACGGTAATCTGATGGTGCAAGTTGTTATGCAGCATGGAAATTTGATTGCTTAGTCACCATATGATTAACCAGCTTTTAAAAAACAAACAAACAGAATCACACAAATAATCAGTTCACAGCCCTAAAGTGAAGTGTATTAACATCTCATTTGACGCATTCTGGGGTTAAGGACTGACATTTGAAATAAGTTCCATCCTGATGCTCTAGGGAGGTCTGGCACAAGTGAAGCCATTTTCTTAGCTCTTACCACTGAACTTAATTCATGTAAGAATATAAGAAGAGCCCTGCTAGATCAGAGGTCTATCCCAGGTCTCTGATCTGCCCTCCCCCCCGCCCAAAGACAGGTGCTACCTCACACTGCCCCACAAGGGCCTGGAAAGCACCCCCTGGCTAGCCGCAGAGACACCCAACACCTGGGAAGCTTGTAGCCAGGGCTATGCAAGCTTTTAGTAAGCAGAGATGCAAGAGGGCATCAGAGGAGGGAGGAAAGGAAAGAGGGACAGAGACCAATGTTGCCCATTGCACCCCTGACCACCTTTCAAGGCACTCCAGGGTGCCACAACACACTGGTTGAAAACCACTTCCCTAGGTTGTTTCCCAGACTCTGCTATTCAGAGATATACCATTACAAGTAACAGACAGAGAATTGTCACCCAGTTCTTTGAAAACCAGCCTTCCCTGCCTCTGGTCCACAGTTTTCACTGAGAGATGCCAAACTCCATTGCAGGCCATTGGTGCAGTTGCATCCAGCATCCCTTTGAATGACTTGTCAGGCAATCAAGCAGCCTTTTTTCTGTTTCACACCTCCCACAGTGCGCTAAAATGTGGAAACAGTTGTACTGGTTGTACCGCATGATGCATAGTAAAAGCAGGGAGAAGTAAATTAATTACATATACAGTGCAGCTATGTTCTCCTTTATTTTGTTTTTGCTTACACAGTCATCCCTAAGCCCCACCTGAATGGGCAGATATTAATCCTACATGTGTTTACTCCAGACGAGTAGTCTGCCTGAGTTCCATGAGGCTTTCCACCTCTTGGGCTGATCCGACATGGGCTACAAAACAGCATACATTGGCCATAAACTGACATGCCTCATTTGTCCTTAGGATGTCACAAGCTAGCTAGGCATCTAGTTGATCTGAATCATATGCTAGGAAAAAGCTTTGCAAAGGATTTCTGTGCCTCTTTGGTGTTATAATTCATCTTTAGAGCAGTGCACAGATTTCAGCCTCATTGAGTTCACGATTAGTTGCTTTACTGAGTCAGACCTCAGGTTCACCGAAGCTCAGCATTTTACAGCCTAAGGGCCACATTTCCTTCTGAGCAGCCTTCCAGGGGCCACATGCCAGGAGTGGGGCTACCCACTTTTTGCCTTGGCTCTCCTCTGCAGGAAGCCCCCCCCCCCGAAGGTTGCCCACAAAGGAATGCAACTGCAGTGCTGAAAAATGTTCCTCACTCCAGCTTTAGAGGGGGAGGACTTCCTGACAGTATGAGCTATTTGACAGTGGAATAAACTGTCTCAAAAGGTGATGGACTCTCCTTCATTTGAGGTTTTTTAATCAGAGGCTGGAAGGCCATCCAGCAGGATTGTTGTAGCAAGGGATTCCCTGCATCAGCACGGGAGAGACGATGACCTTGAGGTTCTTTTATGATTCTCCGATTCAAACACACAAAGCGACAGAAGGCTGGCAAAAAGAAGCAGGATATTTTAAAACCAGCTTTCTAGAATTCTTTGTGAAGTACAGTTTCTAACTTTTGAACCTCAGCTCAGTGGTTGAGCATCTGCTTTGCATGCAGGAGGTCCCGGGTTCAATCCCTAGCAGCATCCCCTGCTAGAGCTGGGAGCTGAAACTCTAGAGAGTCACTGCCAGTCAGTGTGGGCCTTCTGTGCTAGAGGGAACAGTGGTGTAAGGCAGTTTCCAAGGTGCCTATGAACCAGCTGCTACAGCACTGCCTTCAACCATTATTTGATCTGAGGACATTAGGAAGTGATGTTGCTTTTCTCTGTGTCATGAAATTTCCCAAAAGTTGCATCTTAGGCTGCTCTTAACCAGCCCTGGCCTTGTGCTTTTGTGGGGTTGGGGAGTGTTTGTGATCAGCTGGCTACCTTAGGAAGGTGATTCTGATTTGCTTGTCTGTGGTTTTAAGTACAGGTTGGCGCAATGGGAGTGGGATATTAACTATTCTGCATTAATTCACATGATGCAGCAATACTGTGATCGTGCATAGGTGGCAGCTCATTTTCTCCTCTCTCTTTATCACCAATTTTGTGCATTTGACACAGATATTATTTTGCATGCCTTGTAGGAAGAAGGTGTAGATATCTTTATGTGCACATCTGTATAAACACTGTTTTGGTGGTAGTGGTGGTGTCAATATGGTTATTTTGATACACATTGCACCAATGTATTCATGCATCAATGATGACTTCAGTGTATCTCATAAGATTGCTCTCTCCAGGTACCTTAAAGGCAGATGGTGAGGGTCAGAATTCTTCTTATTATTACTTCTACTCCTCTGCTGCTGTTACTACCACTAAAGTCTATTTCAAAATACTCAAGTGATAAAGAGAGAGACCAGATTCTCTGTTAGGAAACAGTGAGGATAGTGAACTAATGGCCTTGCAGTTGTTGTTGGACTACAACTCTCATCATCCCTGGCCCTTGGACATGCTGGTTGCAGGCTGATGGGAGCTGAAGCCCAACAACTGCTGGATTTTCACAGATTCTCCATGGTGGAGGTTTGTGTGCCAAAGCGAAACCACTGCACCACATAGATATGTTTAGAGAACCTTGTGGGCATTCCTTGCTCAGCCTCCGAGGAAGCCTCCATAATACTAACTTCTCAGCAAATGTGCTTTGGATCAAACTGAAAAAACATCACTGATTTAACTACAAAGAATATTCTGGCACTTTAAAAGGGAAAAGTTGCATTCCTAAATATGCTTTCCTGGGAGTAGGTGCATTGAACTAGGGTTGCCATATTGTGGGCAAAGTTGTTGAGCTTTTGTTTTCAGGGAGGGGGGCAAAGTTGTTGTTGAGCTTTTTCTTTTTTTGTTTTGCCCAAAGTTGTTTCCAACAGCCAACTGCTGGCTATGTCTGGGCCTGGCAACCCTAACTGAACAAAAAGGGACTTACGTCTGAGTAAACATGTGCTGTTCTGTAAGAAAGAAAGAAAGATTGTGCCAAAAATTTAATTGGCTTTCCTTAGGGGTTTTTTTATTTTAAAAATACTTTTTTGCAGAAAATATTAGTGAATGCTAATGGCTTTAAAAGAATCAATGTAACAATAAATACAGTTGGAGGGAACGATAGTCAACTGTAGCCTTTTTCATTCCTTTTAGTACAAAGAACATGCATTTTTCGAGATTGCTTTCTAAAAAAAATAATGGCAATATCGCCATTAGTGAATGGACTGGCTTCCTTTCCATTTAACATGTATTTGCAAACAAACAATCAAATGCAAAACCAATGATTGCTTAAGGCATCCACAAGCCCTGTCTAAGGAATCTTGCCCAATCTCAGTGGCTTGACGGATTCATTGGTGATGAAAGGGCACCCTATACATACTCAGAGGCACTGTTGTGTGAATATAGATTTTGTTCTCCAAGGAGTGGTTTAGTAGATCTATTCTGTGTTCCTGTGCAATTCAAATGGTGTCTGTGAAAAGGTGTTTAGCAGAGGCAGGAATGATTTCCTTCCCCACCAGCCAGTTAGAAAAGTGTTACTCTCTCATTTCACAGTTTCTGAGCTTGCTCTGAACTGAGCTTACTAGCATCCTTCATTTCAAATTAAACCCTGTTGCTAATCCACATAAAATTAGCAGAGTACCAGCCTGGTGCAGTGGCTAGTGTGTTGACCCAGGACCAAGAGACCTGTGTTTGTTCATTTGCTTGTTTTTGTATTTATAGCCCACCTTCTCACAACCCTTTAAGGCAGGTTAGAGTGAGAGTTGGTGAGTGGCCCAAGGTGACTCAGTGAAAAAAGAAGCAGGGAACCCAATCACCTAGAGAAATCCCCTACCCCCATATATGTAGCTATATGCAAGTGGAGCGTGCTACCACAATGCCCCTCCCCATCCATATGCATATTCATTAGACACAGCATTATACACACATGGGGACAGTTGAACCTGTGTGCATAGGCAACAAGTGTACAACACTCAAAAGCAAAAGAGAGGAAAATGCATGAGTGAATTAGTCCAAACGTAGGCATGCAGTGTTGGCTGCAGAATATCATGATGTAACATAGGTCTACAGATGTAATATAACTAGTGATGTTTATGGTAACAGGAACAGAAGAAGAGCCCTGCTGGATCATGCCAAAGGCCCTTCTAGTCCAGCATCCTGCTCTCACTGTGGCTAGACAGATGCCTGCAGGAAACCCGCAAGCAGGACCTGAACACAAGAGCACACTCTCATCCTGTGGTTTCTAGCAACCGGCACACAGAAGCATTACTCCCTCTCACCATGGAGACGTAATAGAGGCTAGTGGCCATTGATAGCTTCATTCCTCCATTAATTTATCCAGTCCTCTTTAAAAGCCATCCAAGTTGGTGGGCATCACTCCCTTCTGTGGGAGGGAGTTCTATGCATTGCCCACAAGCAGGGTGGTAGGAACACAGGAACCGGCTTTGGTCCATATAGCTCAGTACTGCCTACACTGGCCAGAAGCAGCTCTTGTGGTTCCAAGCAGGGGCCTCTCCCTGCCATACCTGGAAATGGAAAGAATTGAAACTGCATGCAAAGCCGATACTCTACCACTGAGCTATGATCCTTCTGAGTGGAATGACACTTTCCCCACTTATGAAACCCAAGAACTCCCAGCATCTGCCTGTGACAGTGGAAGGAGAGCATAAATACAAACAGGGCTTACTCACCCTGTCTTCTTCTTCCCTTAAGTCCGGCATGGTGCTGACACAAAGGCTTATCGCTGTGGTGGCCACAAAGAGGATGGAGAGGCAAGCAAAGATTTTCCCCGGGAGGCCCGACCGGGGGTTTTCCACCATGTCCCTCAGCTTGCTCATAAACTGGCCATATTTGGTCTCCTCTTCCAGGACGCAGGCCGTCACTTTGCTCATCTGCATCTCCTCCTCTCTGCGCACCTCGGCCAGCTCCTCAGCCTTCTGGAAGAGCTTCCGGAAGCAGCAGTTCTCCAAGTTGGACTCCTCGATCCCCCAGTACTTCAGCTCCTCCTGGAAGGACAAGGCACAGGTGTCATGGAGGAGCATCAGTTTCCCTGCCGCGAAGAAGCTGACAATCACCCCAAAAACGTTGGGGTTCCGGTCGAAGAAAAACTCTTGCGTGTCTTCATCGTAGTCATCACACAGCTGGATTATCTCTTCGTAGCTGCTGCAGAACTTCAGCTTGCTCAGCCGGGATGCGGGGAACTCGTCCAAGGTGCTCCAGGGCAACAGGTACTTGATGCCGCCAACGTTGACCATAATCTCCCTCTTCAGATCGACTGTCCCGAGCCGATCTGGGTGGTAAATCCTCTGGGCCCGTTGGTAGTGGACCCCTTTGGCGGGGGGAGTCTCGACCACTGAGATGGGAAACAGGTGGTTCAAGGAAGTGCAGGAATTGTAGCTGTAGTCGTGGTCACTGCCTCCAGAGAGAATAGGCATCTCTGAGGGTTGTCACTGGAGCTCCAGCACAGAAGCAGCATCAGAGCCAAGCTGGCTAGGGAGGTGGAAATAGGAGGGAAAACAGAGACAGGATCATGACCATTGTGAGATGAGGAACACGGTAACATAAGAAAAGCCCTGCTGGATCAGGCCAATGGCGCATCTAGTCCAGCATCCTGTTCACCCAGGTCTCTGTGGACAACCTATATGCAGGACCCAAGCACAAGAGCACTATCCACTCCTGTGATTTCCAGCAACTTGTATTCAGAGGCATACTGCCTCCGACAAGAGAAGCACAACATAGCCATTGTAGCTAGCAGCCCCAATTTGTCCAATCTTGTGTTAAAACTACCCTAGCTGGTGGCCATCTTTTCCTCCTGTGGAAGTGAGTTCCACAGTTTGGCTATGTACTGCATGAGCAAAAGCATCTGTCTCTCATAACCAGTTGTAGTTGTTAGAATGTTAATACCAGTTTTCTTTCTTTCTTTTTTTTAAATATTTATTAAAGGTTTTAAACAATACATCAGCCAACACATAAAACACCATCACCAAGAAAAAAGAAAAAAAAGAAGAATAAAGAATAAAGGAACAAGGGGGAAAAAAGAAACAAAGGACTTCCTCACATCTCCCTTTCCTGCGTTCCCATTTATAAAATTATATTCAGCAGTACTTCACCTTCTTTCAAGTCTTATTTTGTAATTTTCAGAAATTTATGTCTCCAATTTTGAGCTTTACTTTCAAATATTTGAATCTTTAATTTTAACCTGCTATTTATCAAAATTTCAACCTTGTTCTTGCGATTCACTTATTTTCATGCATCTTTCCACTAATTTATTAATGCCATATTATTTTCTATCCTGCATCATCTTAACATTCAAACAAATTACAATACTTTTGCAAATAGTCCTTGAACTTTTTCCAATCCTCTTCCACTGTCTCTTCTCCCAGGTCCTGGACTCTGCCAGTCATAATACCAGTTTTCTTTTCAACAAGAAATGCCAGGACAATTTGCAAACAAATAAAACCCAACAACAAAATACCCCTTTATTTACAAGGAGGGCTTGGGGATCTCAGGCCCTGCTGGGCCTCTCTATCAGGCCCTCGGGACTCTCCACAGACCACACACGAGCCATACCCTCTCACTGGCCTGGCTTTACAGCCTCAAGTGCTTTTGTCTGGCTGGAGTGTGTCCTCTGGCAATTCTTCTTACTTGCCTAGACGGAGGATAGAGAGGGATATGTGGGTGTGTCCAGAAACTAGCCTTCTGCACTGAGGTAAATTTTACATCAATTGCTCCACCCACTTTTGCTTTTGGCTCCACCCACCACTGGCATGTAGCCCTTGGGAGGTTGCCCAGAAGCTCCCTTCAAAATGCAGGGAATGCATCCCTCAGGCTGAAAAAGGTCCCACACCCCTTTTTTATGGCATGCCTTAGCTGTTTCTGCTGACACATTCTTTTTTTTTTTTAAAAAAAAAGAAGGATAGCCACTGGATTCAATCAAACCTCATTCCTGGGAAAACTTGATGCATAACCTTCAAATCTGCTTATATATTAAAGTCCTCCTCAATGACACCCTGGTGGAGCAGCCACTCCTGTAGTGCGAACAGAAGTGTCGCAGTGAAAACAGCCCTGCTGGGATCAAGCCCAAAGTGTTGTCTGGGTCCAGGATATAGGCAAGCTGGAATGTGTGCAGTGGAGGAGAAGCAAGATGGCAAAGGGTCTGGAAACCAAGGCTTATGAGGAATGGCTGAGGGAGCTGGGGATGTTTAACCTGGAGGAGAGAAGGCTGACAGGTGATATGATAGCCATCTTCAAACATCTGAAGGGCTGTCCCATGGAAGATGGAGCAAGCTTGTCTTCTGCTGCTCTAGAGGGAAGGACCCGAACCAAAGGGTTCAAATTACAAGAAAGGAGATTCTGATTAAACATTAGGATGACCTTTTTGATGGTATGAGCTATTTGACAATGGAATAGACTACATTAGAAGGTGGTAGACTCTCCTTCGATGGAAGGCCATCTGCCAGGAATTCTTTAGTTGTGATTCCTGTATTGCAACTTTACAATCCTGTACTTTCCAGAAGAGACCAGCCAGATGCCTCCAGCAGGACATGAAGGTGATGTCTCCTTCTTTGGCTTGTACTGATCCTTTCGTATTCAGAGACACAGAGCCTCTGGATGTGAAAGTTCTATTTAACTATCAAGCCCAAAAGCTTTTGGCTGACCAACTCATCCTGAGTTTGTCTAATCCTAATAAAATAAAATAAATCTAAGCACTTCCCCTCCCCCACCTCACTAGATCCCTATTCCATAAGTTAATCATGTTTATATGGGCAGGATTTATTTTTGCCTGCCCTGAATCTGCTGCAAATCAACTTCATTGAATGATGGCATTTCAGCAAGAAATCCGTCTAGGTAGTACAGCAGGTACCTAGGGTACTCTCAGGGATTAATTAACATGATGGCAGTTTGTCTGTCCTAAGAGAACAGGCGGCAGTGCTTACAAAGGCTGCCCATCTTAGCTGGAAGTTCTAAATGTTGTTCTTCTGTTGATGATGTTTTAAAGTTATACAAATTTGCACACCCCCAAAAGAGAGAGAAGCAGAAATGGCAATAGCATAGAAGTGAATAACTTCTCAAGGGTTTGACAAGCGTCTAACAGGATTCTCTTGAGCATCCACAGACTGGTTCCATTTCACATTCACAGGGAGTCTGGAAGCTTCCTCTATATTGGGTCAGACCATTTGTCCATCTAGCTCAGTACTGTTGACACTGACTGGCAGCTGCTTTCCAGGATTTCAGTCCAGAAGGTCCCCACCGCAACTCTACCTGGAGATGCCAGAGATTGAACCTGGGACCTTCTGCATGCAAAGCAGATGCTCTGTCACTGAGCTACAACCTGCCCCTTCCAAATTTTACCATGGATGCAACAAAAGCAAATAGAAAATCAGAGAAGCCTGAAGTTTTACAGTTGCTGAGCTGCTGTGAATCATGAAAAGCATAGGAGGAAGCTGAAAGCAACGATGTATGCATTTGATTTCTTCACACAAATTATCTTATAACCTTTACAACAGCCCTGTAAGGTAGGCCAAATATCAATATCCGCATATTGCAGACTGTGGGGCTTAGGTTGGTGTTCATCCTCTCCTTTTCACAGACACCGCCTGCAGCTGGAATTCTGTCTCATTCTTGCTAAATACATACACAACCCCCCTCCCCTTCAAGTAGACATCGCACGAAACCAATTACACATACAATGCTGAGAAGCAAACCCCTTTGTAGATGTTTGAAGCTGATGGGGAGTAAGCACAAAACCCCTCCAGTCTTACTCCTCTCTGCCTCCGGCTTGCCATCCCTCCCGGTGCAGGCTGACAGCATTCCAGAACGAAGTTTCGCAAAGTTACTTACTGCGCTAAACACGGGCTGTGTCCGGGTCAACTGTCTCCCCAGCAGCAAGAGCAGAACACATTGCGAGGAATTGTTGCCATTCCTGGGTGATGGAGAAGCATCAAAGCACATTTGTTGCCCTGATTCCATGGATGTAATAAAATTGCTCTTGGCCGGCATCTCCTTCTTGATATTCTCTCTCTCCTTTATAGACTGATTCCCTCACTCAAAGACCCTTTCAAAGACTTGGAAGGCATCCCTGAATCTTCTTGGGCAACTGAAAAGAGAGACAAAGTCTGTATTCTCCCTCTCTCCGCTTTTCCTCCCTGGAGGGCTGTCAGTGTGGTCCTCCTGACAGAAGGAGGAGGGAGGGAAGAGGGAAGGGCTTAGACATAATCTCTCCCTTGTTCTCTCTTTCCAGCATCCTCCAGCCCTTCATCCTTAGAGCAGACTGCAGGGCATACCAGCAATTCAGCAGCAGTCTGGAGTGGAAGCAGAGAGACCCAACAAATGCTCAATAATAAATTGATGCTGACAAAGACAGTTCTCCATAACACTTGCCAGTGTTAACACTTGCCATTCTCTCCCTGTTTTTTGACTTTGGAGGCAGCAATTGAATTGTTTCAGGGTGTTTCCCCACACACCCCAGAAGCAGCTTCCTTTCAGGTGTTGAGTTCTGAAAGTTCCAGGTTTCTAAAAAAGCACTTTACTATTCCACATAAGATTTAATAGGGCATGTGCACAGGGTAAGTTTGCTGTTGTGGTAGTGGTTCGGGGTGTGTGGGTGTGTGCCAGGATGATGGATCCAGCCAGTCATCTCACTCTGGGGAAGAAGGCTCCTTCCCCTTATGTAATAACCTGCTGACAAAAGGTTTGGGACAGCTCCATGAGTGATGGAGCTTGTAGGGGGTTGCACAACAGCTGTTCCTGACTTTGCATTTGCATCAAGACTCTTGCATGCACACAGAGCCAATGGATGATTTGGAATACTAATATGAATCGCACATAGTATGTATGCAATGAACTTGTGTAATTTCAAACTTGTTTAGTTGAAAGCTGGCTGGTTGAAATCTCACAAATTAACTGTACGCAAGGTGGATAGCTCTAATGTGTTGGGTTTTCCTGGTGCAGAAACACATTTTTGCGTATTCGCACCACCCCCAGAACAGAACCCCTGTGGAAGACACAATCATGCTGTATATATATTTGATCTCCCACAAAAATTACTAGCCTGCTGGAGGCTGGCAGAGGAATGATGGTGTTATCTGCTGCTTCTGCAACAGCTTGGTGTTCTGGATATGGTGGAGAGGACTTCCCCCATCTGGCTGCCTTCTTAGTTTCCATGCCAGGTGCAGAAGAGGGACAGAATGCTCCATCCTTCCTGCAACAGTCGGCCCAATTGCCTTTAAGGAATTCCTTGTCGCCTATGGCAACCGGGCATATCCTTACAGTGTATTTTGTGTATACACACATACTAGCTGCCAACAATCCTTCCCATTCTCCCAGCTTTCTGTCACATTCCAGTGCATGGGTAGGGAATCTTTGCAGGATTCTGGGGCACGGTGGAGGACAAAGCCATGGCTAGCAGGCGAGCTTTGTGCATCTCAGTGCCCACTGACTGGCAGGCTTTAAGCACATCTGCAATGACTATATTGGGAGTTGTCATCAAAGGGCGCAGCGCTTGCTTACAGTCCTCATTATCATACGCAAGCTGGCGGACAATCAGTTCTTGGGCTGCTACGTCCTGAACTTGCCGCTTAAGAGTGTTATCCAAGCGATCGACAAATTGTCCATAGGGCTTTGTAGGACCCTGTCTGATGCTGCCACCGCGCTCATTCTTGTCATCAGGAACAGAGGACAAAGCTTCTTGGGCGGCAGCAGTGGTAGCTGTCCAATACATGGGATCAAGGGCCAACTGTTGGGCAATAGTAAGAAAATTGCCTTCGCCAGTTAAGCCATTAGGAACATCAGTTTGGTTCAGCATAACAGGGGCTGGGGGTGCAGGGCCATTGTCCTTGACAGAAGAAGACAGTTCCTTTATGAATCTCAAATCAAACTGTTCGTGCCGGGCTGGGCCTCCCCCTGGCGCGGCAGGAGCAATCACAGGGAAGAGAGTAGGAGTTGTAGAATCAAAAGCCAACAATGGGGCAGCGGCACGGAGAGATTCTTGAAGTGGAGTAGTAGAAGCGGTGCCAAATGCCTTGGGCGCAGGAGGTGGAAGAACGGGGGGTGCTGCAGAATTTGAAGAATGCAGGGGAGTGACGGGAGAAGCCGGAGGGAGAATGTCCGGCGGTTTAGGAGGTAGGTTTGAGGCAGGCAAAGCGGGAGCTGGGAGGGCGGGCGAAGAAGCTGTTGCGGCAGCCAGAAGAATGTTTGAAGGAGTTAAGCACGACATAGCTTTGTAGACGTTACTCCAGGCGTGCAAAACCTTGACATCAATCTGAGGATGATTTTGAAAGAAGTGTCCAATTTTTTTCCAATCGTCTAACTCCCAATTTCCGTCCTGGGGGAACCAGGGGCAGTGAGTGTCCAGGGCTTTTATAAGGGACTTAAGGTCAGCTTTCCGAACAGCAAGGTTGTTACTGGCCAAAAGGAATTTAAGGTCTTTAAAAAATTTTTTCTGTGGTGCAGAGAGAGATTTTCCCATGATTGCAAGAGTTGCAAAAAGAGCAGGGAGCACTTACCGGAGGGATCCGTAGGAGGATGAGAGAGGCGCCTTTTGCCCTGTCCGGGCGGAGATAAGTGCTGATAAGTCCGTAACGTAGTCCAGAATCACATTCACACGGGAGCTCTCACCGGGGATCCACTACGTGGATGAACGACGCATCTGCAGGGTGAGGCTGAACGTTGTAAAACAGCATGAAGTCCGAAAGAAATCACACGGGAGCACTCACCAGGGATCCACTACGTGGATGAACGACGTGTTGGTGAGTGCTGAATAATGAAAAAAAAACGTGAAGTCCGAAGGCAGTCACACGGGAGCACTCACCAGGGATCCACTACGTGGATGAACGACGTGTTGGTGAGTGCTGAATAATGAAAAACAACGTGAAGTCCGAAGGCAGTCACACGGGAGCACTCACCAGGGATCCACTACGTGGATGAACGACGTGTTGGTGAGTGCTGAATAATGAAAAACAACGTGAAGTCCGAAGGCAATCACACGGGGCACCAATTGTCGAGTTGCAGCTCGGCATCCAGAGGAAAATCAGTCTCACACCAAGATAGGTTCCGAAATATGGCTGCTCTTAGGGCTAATGCAGCACAGCTTTTATTGTGTGAAATAGCAAGATACAAAATACAAGCCAAGCAATTTGTTCTAGCCAGCAGATAAGGACCTTCGTACTAGACCATGCGAGCGATCAGGCTATGCTACGTTAGCCAATCATATGGGACAGCACGAGCTGTTCACGCGCTGTTCATGCTCCAAGGATGCTTCTAGCTATGAAATCACCCTGTAACAATAAGAACTTTGCTCATGCTCTCATGTACAAGCAATCATTTTCCCACAGGCCTGGGGATTACATGTGGCCCTCCAGGGTGCTCCATCTGGCCCTCAGGACTCTTCCCAGACTACACTCCCTCACTGCCTCTGCTTTCATCCTCCTTGAGAGTTTTTGCCTGACTGGACTGTGTCCAGTGTGTGTGTGTGTGCGCAGAAACTAGCCTACTGTATAAAGGTCACTTTTTCATCCATTGTGCCACCCACTTTTGTCTCTGGCCTCTCCCAATACTGGCATGTGGCCCCTGGAAGGTTGCCTAGAAGAGTTTGAGGCCCTTGGGCTGATGATGTTTCCGTATCCTTGGTCAAGTATGATCCAGGTTCCTTGCATAATGGAACTTTTGAATTATTTAGTTACATTTATATCCTGTCTTTCTTTCACCATGGAATTCAAGCTGGCATACATAGAATCATAGAATTAGAAGGGACCCTCAAGGGTCATCTGATCCAAACCCCTACAATTGAGGAATCACAGCTAAATAATCGCTGACATCCAACTTCTGTTTAAAAACCTCCAGTGATGGAGAGTCCACCAGCTTCTAAGGTAGTCAATTCCACTATCAAACAGCTCTTATCATCATAAAGTTATTCCTAATGGTTAGTCAGAATCAACTAAAGGGGGGGAACTGTTCACACAAGGAGTTGTTCACATCATCAGGGTACAGCCGAGATGACTAAATTGTGCAAGATTGTCCCTTCTTTTCAATAATAGCCACTAATACCTAGAAAATGGTTATGTTTATGAGCAATGATGACTGGTGGCTACAAACTATTGAACACACACACAAGGTCTCTAATTTGGTGAGGGCTGGAGAGATACAATTTGATTGTAATTAGAAAAGGAGACATTAATGATGATGATGATGCCAATCTGACTGGGTTGCCCCAGTCACTCTGGATGGTTTCCAGCAAAATATATATTTGAGTTCAGTCTGTTGGCAATCCCCAGACTCTAGACACTACATTATACCATTGTTTCAAAATAACCAGCACATAGGCTGTATCATATCTACATTTGCCTGTCTGATTATGTGATATGGCTCAATAGTAATTTGATTTCTTTTGAAACAGGAATCCTCCTGAAAGGGATGTTGTGCAATCTGCACACTTAACATTTCTTGGGACTTGCGCCCCTTAGGCAAAAACAGTTGCATAATTTCATAAAGAGACATTATTTATCAAACACAACACTCTCTCTCATGCCCACCACCTAACCAACATCCTCACCAGTTACATTTGTAAATGATTTAACAATAATGCATGTGTAATTGGTTTCCCCGCTCTCCGTTGCAAGCAGAGACATTTTTCAAGCTTGTGTCATCACAGAGAAGGCTAAGTGTGAATGAAATTAATTTTGGGAAGGCTAAGGGGCAGGCATGGTCTCAGGCAAGACAGAAAACCCGACTTGGTTACAAATCCAATCTTCTCTTTGGTCACCTCCAGGCCATCAGTGCTTTGCAGAAGAGATTCTTCAAGCACATACCAGAACAGTGTTTGGGACTTTTTACTTTAGAGAAAAGGTAAGTCAGAGGTGGCATGATAGAACTTTATAAAATTATGGATGGCATGGAGAAAGTGAATAGAATTTTTTTCCCTCCCTCTCTCATAGTACAAGAACTCATGGAAATCCAATGAAACAATGAAATGTTTGGAGATAAAAGAAAGCAATTCTTCATGCACTACATAGCTAAACTATGAAACTTGCTCCCATAGGAGGCAGTGATGGTGATCAACCTAGATGGAAGAATAGAAAAATTCATGAAGGAGAAGTCTATCAGTGGCTACAAGTGACAATAGCTATATTCTGCCCCCCGCAGTTGGAAAGAGCAATGTTTCTGAATACCATTACTAGAAACCACAGGAGGGGAAAGTGCTCAAATTCTGCTTGCAGGTTTCCCACAGGCATCTGGTTGGCCCCTGGGAGAACCGGATGCTGGGCTAGATGTGTCATTGGCTCTTCTTATCTTCTTAATTCCCAGAACAGTTTAACAGTCCCCCTCCCCAGGGAGCTCTGGGAATTGTAGCTTTGTGGAGAATGGGGTCTCCTAACAGCTCTCGGCACCATTAACAAGCTACAGTTCCCAGGATTCTCAGGGGAAAGTGATGACTGTTGAAAATGGTATGATATTGCTTTAAATCCAATGGTACCAAATAGTATGGGAAACAGCTTTACTAGAAAAATTAACCAATAAACTGAAACTGACACGGGGACAAACAGAAGAAGACGCCTTTACCCC